TCAAAGTTCAGTCTTGCAGTTTTTTGAATAGAAAGCCGTGAAAGGAAAAGGAGATGAGAAAAGTACAGAAAAGTAGGAATCCAAGATCGACCATCCAAAGTTCATTTGTGCTAGTACTGTGCTAGGACAGTTGGGCAAAACTATAGATAGAATATCCTCCAGAACCATGAAAAGACTGAATTTTTAAAGGATGTTTGGGATTAAGCATGTATTTGTGGTGCTCCCTGCCCCTTCCTCCACATCTACCCATCCAAAGTTCATTCTTGGAGCTGTTTGAAAGCAAACTTTAAAAGGAAAATGGCATCTAAAAAGTAGGAATCCAAGATCTTACCATCCAAAGTTGAAATTGCAGGTTTTTGAAAAGAAGCAACAAAAAGAAAATGGGATGAGAAAAGAAGGAATCCACGATCTTACCATTCAAAGTTCAGTCTTGCAGGTTTTTGAATAGAAAGCCGTGAAAGGAAAAGGAGATGAGAAAAGTATAGAAAAGTAGGAATCCAAGATCGACCATCCAAAGTTCATTTTGTGCTAGTACTGTGCTAGGACAGTTGGGCAAAACTATAGATAGAATATCCTCTAGAACCATGAGAAGACTGAATTTTTAAAGGATGCTTGGAGTTGAGCATGTATTTGTGGTGTTCCCTGCCCCTTCCTCCACATCTACCCATCCAAAGTTCATTCTTGGAGCTGTTTGAAAGCACACTTTAAAAGGAAAATGGCATTAAAAAAGTAGGAATCCCTTACCATCCAAAGTTGAAATTGCAGGTTTTTGAAAAGAAACCACAAAAGGAAAATGGGATGAGAAAAGAAATAATCCACGATCTTACCATTCAAAGTTCAGTCTTGCAGGTTTTTGAATAGAAAGCTGTGAAAAGAAAAGGAGACGAGAAAAGTATAGAAAAGTAGGAATCCAAGATCGACCATCCAAAGTTCATTTTTGCTAGTGCTGTGCTAGGACAGTTGGGCAAAACTATAGATAGAATATCCTCTAGAACCATGAAAAGACTGAATTTTTAAAGGATGCTTGGAGTTGAGCATGTATTTGTGGTGTTCCCTGCCGCTTCCTCCACATCTACCCATCCAAAGTTCATTCTTGGAGCTGTTTGAAAGCAAGCTTTAAAAGGAAAATGGCATTAAAAAAGTAGGAATCCAGGATCTTACCATCCAAAGTTGAAATTGCAGGTTTTTGAAAAGAAGCAACAAAAGGAAAATGGGATGAGAATTACCATTCAAAGTTCAGTCTTGCAGGTTTTTGAATAGAAAGCCGTGAAAGGAAAAGGAGATGAGAAAAGTACAGAAAAGTAGGAATCCAAGATCGACCATCCAAAGTTCATTTGTGCTAGTACTGTGCTAGGACAGTTGGGCAAAACTATAGATAGAATATCCTCTAGAACCATGAAAAGACTGAATTTTTTAAAGGATGTTTGGGATTAAGCATGTATTTGTGGTGCTCCCTGCCCCTTCCTCCACATCTACCCATCCAAAGTTCATTCTTGGAGCTGTTTGAAAGCAAACTTTAAAAGGAAAATGGCATCTAAAAAGTAGGAATCCAAGATCTTACCATCCAAAGTTGAAATTGCAGGTTTTTGAAAAGAAGCAACAAAAGGAAATGGGATGAGAAAAGAAGAAATCCACGATCTTACCATTCAAAGTTCAGTCTTGCAGGTTTTTGAATAGAAAGCCGTGAAAGGAAAAGGAGATGAGAAAAGTATAGAAAAGTAGGAATCCAAGATCGACCATCCAAAGTTCATTTTGTGCTAGTACTGTGCTAGGACAGTTGGGCAAAACTATAGATAGAATATCCTCTAGAACCATGAAAAGACTTATTTTTTAAAGGATGTTTGGGATTAAGATTAAGCATGTATTGGTGGTGCTCCCTGCCCCTTCCTCCACATCTACCCATCCAAAGTTCATTCTTGGAGCTGTTTGAAAGCAAACTTTAAAAGGAAAATGGCATCTAAAAAGTAGGAATCCAAGATCTTACCATCCAAAGTTGAAATTGCAGGTTTTTGAAAAGAAGCAACGAAAGGAAAATGGGATGAGAAAAGAAGGAATCCACGATCTTACCATTCAAAGTTCAGTCTTGCAGGTTTTTGAATAGAAAGCCGTGAAAGGAAAAGGAGATGAGAAAAGTATAGAAAAGTAGGAATCCAAGATCGAGCATCCAAAGTTCATAATTGAAGGTTTTTGAATGGAAAACTGTGTTTGAAAGAAAGAGTGCATGAGAAAAGTAGGAATAGCTGATCTTACCATCCAAAGTTCATTCTCGCAGCTGTTTGAAAAGGAAACTTGGAAGGAAAATGGAAGGAAACAAATTGGAATGCACGATCTTACCATCCAAAGTTCATAATTGAAGGTTTTTGAATGGAAAACTGTGACAGGAAAAGGACATGAGAAGAGCAGGAATCATACTTTGAAAGGAACATGGCATGAGAAAAGCTGGAATCCACGATCTTACCATCCAAAGTTCACAATTACAGATTTTTGAAGGGAAAAGTGTGAAAGGAAAAGGAAATGAAAAAAGTAGGAATCTACGTCTACGATCTTACCATCCAAAGTTCATTTTTTGCAGCTGTTTGAAAAGGAAACTTTGAAAGAAAAAAATAAATTGGAAGGTTTTGAAAAGGAAAGGAAAAAAAAACACATTTTGAGCATCCTGGAGTAGATTTTGGAATATTCTATCTAGGGGGTCCGAATATATAGTTTAGTATTGGGTCAAAAAACCCTGAATTTTTTCAAAAAAAAACGCCCCCTACGAAACTGGATTCTATCTACTCCAGGATTATTATATATATATAAATATATTTATAATATGTGTGTGCTGATTCGTAATTGTACTGATGGCGAGGCAGACCTGTGGTGTCAATGGGAATCAAGTGAAGTCCGCTGTGTTTGACATGGACACATTAGTAGGGATTCTGGATTTTCCGTTGCCAAGTTAGATCCCCAAATCAAGATCAACTATGGATGTCTCTCAATAGGAGCATACCAATATGGTGATATCAATTTGACTACTCTCGCTAGCAATATCAAATGCACAAATACACACAGTTCTGGTCGAGCTTCTCCTGCACCAGTGTGCAGTGCAACCTTGCACAATCCCACCCAAATGGCTGTTCCTTCCGCCATCGTGTGTATGTCCACACGGATACAACGTCTGCCTGAAAGTCCATATATATGTATATATGTACACACATGTAAGCAATCCACAATATGCTAACACACACGCATATGTGCAATCATGTACATTTACCTTGTATATAACCCGCAAGTTTCTGAAGACAAATGTGGCATCGGACTTCCAGACTAATGGAAACCAAAGATTGAGACTGAAGGTCTGTGAATCTGTGAAGCAAGGCAGAGGGGGGTGGAATTTAAAGATGAAGTCTAGATTGAGACGGAAGGTCTGTGAAGCAAGGCAGAGGGGGGTGGAATTCAAAGATGAAGTCTAGATTGAGACTGAAGGTCTGTGAAGCAAGGCAGAGGGGGGTGGAATTTAGATGAAGTCTGGATTGAGACTGAAAGTCTGTGAAGCAAGGCAGAAGGGGGTGGAATTTAAAGATGAAATCTAGATTGAGACTGAAGGTCTGTGAAGCAAGGTGAACATCAGGAGACGGTCGATCTTATAATTTTCGAGAGAATATTGCGAGGAGGAAAAAACTAAATCAAGATGAATGGTTGCAAGCCCTTGCGATTTCTGCTGGGCAGCAACGTCGCAAGGCAAGGTCCGGAAAAGCAGCCATTTTGATTCACATATCTGCCAACGCACGCGCGGATGCCTGCGGATGCCCCTGCGGATGCGGAAGAACCCTTGCGAAGGACCACTGCGGATGCCAAAAGCCACCAAATAATGGCCGCGGATGCATTTCCGGCGTTTGAGAAATACAAAGTAATAGAAAGCAACCCGCCCTGCGGATGTAAGTAATAGAAAGCAACCCGCCCTGCGGATGTCCAATGGGGTGTGTGGCACATTGTATGGGGGGGAGGGGGTTTTCTGCCGTTTCCTCCCCTTCCCTCGGTGACGCCTTCGTGTTGCGGAGTTCTCTTCTTCCCACTTGCGGCTTCCATGCCTCTTTCCAAACTTGGCCTTGCCACGCGTTGACGCCCCTTGGCCCTGCCACAGTCTAGGTTCCCATAAGGGGTGGTTTCTGCGAAACCGGTGCCTGCCACATGTTGACGTCCTCACAGGCGATTTCTTCCACAGTAGCTCCTGCCATGCGTGCCTCGGGCAGGCCTCGGTAAGCCTCGGACGCCTCGAATGCCAACAAACCTGCTTCATCATGGCCCCCAAAGCAGGATCCAAAAAACCAGTATATAGAAACATGGCGGCCAGAAAGGGATCTCGACTGTAGATTTCTCCTTCATAAAGAACTCGGAACTTGCTGCTTCCCAAATCTTCCCCCATGTAATCAACAACAGCTAAGGTCTCGGCTTCGAAAATGATCTGTTCTTGCCCAGGACTTTTCTAACGGTGCTTCGAAAAGAATTGCACCTCTCGCTGACCGTTGCCGTCTTCGCGATCATACCTATTAGCCTCAGAAGGTTCAGAAAATGGATCTCACGCCACAGCGCGGAGCGTTGAGTAGGGTACTAAACCGTCTGCAACACCAATTGTGTTCTCGCCACAGCGCGGTGGGTTTAGTTGGGCTCTTTGTTTGCACGATTATTTTAGAGATTCAATTTTTTGCGTGACAGGCGCAGCACTTGAGAACCCCATACGGCCATCTTAAGGTTGAAGCGCGGCTGGGTACTTTTATTTGACAGACACCAGCATAGTCGACGATATAGCAGCGCAAGTTGAGTGGAGGGATGCCGCCCAGGTCTCATGTCTTTAAGACCAGGACAAAGAGACTCTACGAGCATGAGAACACTACAAGCTCTGGCCGAAGCTTTGAATTCCACAACTTACCGCAACATGGAAGTGAGACAAGAGGCGGAGTTGGAAAGCGCCACTTGGGAAGAGACGGTCGAAGAGGTAAACAAAGGATGGGTTTGGTTCGATGAGGGTGGAGACAACGTGTTACAAGTTTGTTGGTCGACGCTTTGGAATCAAACAGCCCAGCAAGATAAGAGTCATTGATGACTGCTCATGTTGCGGCTTGAACTGGACGGTTGGTTTGCATGAGAAATTTCAACTGCAGTCCATCGACATCCTTGCATCCATAGGTGCAGAAGCCTTCAAGTCCTCTCCCGGTGAATCCCTTCCTTCCGTTCTTGGAAGATGCTACGACTTGAAAAGCGCGTACAAGCAGTTTGCTGTCCATCCAAATGACCGTTCCCATTTGCGCATGGCATGGCTGAGTATGGTTTATACGACTTGTTGCGTTCTTGCGGTTGTGTTGGACAGTTTTCTATGATGACTACAGCGTTCTCAGCCGAAGAGAACTGTTGGGGAACATCTTGGAGCGTCGAAACTTTGTTCGATTTGTTGGGCCTGACGTATGCAAAAGGTGGCAAGAAATACATGCCGTTTGATGAGAAGTTTCGAATGTTGGGGCTGGAAGTTAATTTGAACCACTGCAAGAACGGAAAGGTCACCAGTGGACACACCAACGAACGTCAAGATAACCTGGTAGCAAGGATCAACGACATTCTTGCGGAAGGCTGGATGGACGCCAAAGAGGCGGAGCGACTGAGAGGGCGCATGATATTTTTCGAAGGCTACACTTTTGACCGTCTTGCCAACGCTGCAATAAAGAATGTTGGAAGATTCTGCGCAGAAAGTTCTGGACGGAAGCGATTGGACGCTTCCATAAGGAGCAGCCTTCTTCTCTTGAGGGACAGGGTCCTCTCTGCGCCGCCGATATCCATTGGTAGGCCTCTTCGTGACACTTGGATAATCTTTACAGATGGAGCTTGCAACCCTGAACAACGTTCTGGCAGTGTCGGTGGCCTTATAATTTCACCTTTCGGAACCTGCCTTTCTTTCTCCAGCTCAATGGTTCTAACAGACATCACAGACGAGCTCTTCAAACTTTCCTGCAACCCCATCCATGAACTTGAAGTTCTTCCAGTTTTCATAGCGTGCTTGGAATGGGGAGACCGCTTCGAAGAGTCTCTTGTGGTGTATTATATCGACAATGAGTCATCAAGAATGGCTTATGTGAGAGGGAGCGGAGAGACGCCGCATTTTGCCACACACCTCATCAATGACTTCGTAAAACTGGAGTCTCAAAGTGGCAACTTGCTAGGGGTAAAACACCTAGTTCAGAACTAAGTAGCTAGCTAGGAGTAGAGATGGCATGTCATGTAAGACACTTGACGTGACCGCAGCCCCTTTTAGCACATCTGTGCTACTCGAGGAAAAAGTGAGGTGACCGAGTCAACAGTGCTGTGTTGTCACCACCTGTGTTTTTGAGCCCAATACGCACCACCGTGTAACTTTACTGTTTGCATGGTAGCGGAGCTGCGAGGGTAGACCCTCCGCTCCAAGGTTCAGTGCGGGTCGATCCGCCGGCTAAGGCCGAGATCGACATCGCCAATCCCAGCGGGTAGCCCTGCGTGCCAAGGCACGTGGTAAACCCCAACAACACGACGTCCTCAGGACAGGATCACGTAGATCCGTGGAATAGATCCTCCAGTTGGTGGGATCGAAGCTGGCAAGGCCAAGACCAGTGGCACGACCACTCTTGGCAAGACAACGGGGATTGGGACAGCCGAGCCCGATCTACGCAGCCAACGTCCTCTACGGAGACGAGAGGCTGGAATCGTCGTTCCCGAGCGTCCTCTGCCGCCACCTGGCAGGAAGAGGCAGCCCGGTCAAATCGAACTCCAAGGAGAGATAGCCGATTCACTCAAGACAGGAATCGTCGTGGACATCGATCCGTTGCAGCGACCCAGCGCCGGATCGATCGAGGACAAGAGCGCCGAAGACAGGCAGAGCTAGCAGCCCAACAGGCGCAAGCAGCGACTCAGACAGAGCCGCAGCAAGGAGACACCGCTCCTCCCGAGCCAAGTAGACCCCCACGGGTGTCCACTAGCGAGAGGAGAGCGCGGTCAGCCCCGCCCCCAGGCCAAGCAGCCTTAGAGGAAAACGAAGAGGCTGAAGCAAGCCTGGTCCCTCGGAAGGATCGCAGGCGAAGAGACAGGGCCGAGGCGAAGGCCAAGTCCCAAGAGCCCATTCCAGAAGAAGAACTGGAAGAGGTTCTAGAGGAGGAGCTACCAGCTTCTTCCTCCGTTCGTGTGCCCACTCCTCCAAGGGTACCGGACGAGCACTACATCAGTGAAGCCCGGCGCATTCTGGACCAGCCTCAGCCAGAGGTTCCAGAAGAGATCGCAGCCGCGGCAGCTGACGCGCCAGCAGACGAGTCTGGCAACGAGACGGAAGTTGAGTGGGGAGATTCGCTCTCGAGCTACAGCAGCTACGAGGTGTGCGAGATCCCTGACCTGGAAACCGCCAGGCGAGAAGCAGAAGCTGTAGCAGCCCAAACCAAGTGGCTGGAGCAGCGTCGTCTCCAAGCGCCCCCACTGTACGCAGCGGGAGTTGCGGGGAGCACCGCACGGTCCTCCGCCGACAGCAAAGGCCCAGCAGTTGAGGCCGAGCTGAGTAAGGCATTGGACTTGTGTGACCAAATCCAAGGGGCTTTGAGCCAATCAAGCCAACAACCGAAGCCTCCATTGACCACTGAGGTCGTGGACGAAAGGCCCGAAGAAGAACGCGATGACAGACCCACAACAGGTCATCGGCGAAATGCAGCTGAGGATGGATGCTCTAGCGAGTCAGATGCAAGCGCTGAATATCGCCCATCAGAGCCAGCCGCAACAGAACGCCCAGCTGCAGCAGGAAAAGCAAGAGCTGGACCAGCGCCTGACAGGCGTTATGGCACTATTGCAGCAATCCTTGCAGCAGACCGCGAACGTAGGCGTCGCCCAAGGGCAAGTTCCCCCGCTCCAGAGCGCGGGAACACCCGCCGGAAGCAGTAAGCCGGTCAATCATATTGACGTGCTCAAGTCTGTGAAACAGCCTCAATCCTTAAAGGATCGAGACCAATGGGAACGGTTCAGTTTCCAAGTAGAAACATACTTGGCTTTGCTGGACGAAAACTTTCCAGCAGACTTGGACAATGCACGCAAGCTCACCAGTTTTGTGGATCCAGTCGATATGACTGACGAAGCCAAATCCCGAGGGAGGCAATTGTTTGCAATGCTGAACTCGTGGACTCAAGAACTGGCAGTGGCAAGTAAGATTGCCCGTGGCATTCGAGACCAAAATGGTTTTGAGTTTTGGAGATTGTTGTGGCGTGAAATGGCCCCAGACAATCACTCCAAGAGTTTGATCTGGCGGCGCTCGTTGCTCAGTCCCAAGTTTCCTGCAAAGGAAGCAGAGTTTTCAGCGGCACTCCAAGAGTGGGAAGCTGACCTGGACAAATATGAGGCCGAATATGGTCCCAGTAAGGCCATCAGTGACGAAGACAAAAGAGCTGTAGTCCTTACTGAGGCGCCAACTGCCCTGAAGCAACACCTTTCCATGCACATTGGAACCCTTTCCACGTATCAGTCTGTGCGTGAGGTGGTGGTGTCCTATCTGCAAGCAAAGCAGGTTTGGAGGCCATCAGCCGCGTATGCGGGAGCCGCCGCACGCACAAGAGATCCAGATGCCATGGACATCAGCCTTGTCGGTGATGGCAAAGGAAAGGGGAAAGGAAAAGATGGCAAGGGAAAGGATAATAAGAAGGGCAAAGGAAAAGAGGCCAAAGGAAAAGGGAAAGACAGCCACAACAACAAAGGTGGCAAAGGTCAACAGGAGAAGGATCGTTGCGCCATATGCTGGAAAACCGGCCATACCATTGAGAAGTGTTGGTTCAACTCAAAAGGCCAACCAAAGGGGAAGGGCAAGAAAGGAGTTGCAGGTATCACTGAAGACAATGCGTCAGTGATCTCTGCAGGGCCATCTGCATCTCAAGTTGGTGGTCAAAGTGTAATCACCCTTCCATCCACGACCACTTCCAACAAAGGGAAGAACGTTGGAATGATCGGGGAACACCGACTTCTCATGGTCAAGGCCACCAGCAGCGGGCAACACCGCCATGTTTCACAAAAGGCCATTTTGGCCATACCAGAAGGTGGAGAAATATCTACTGGCAATGCCATTTTGGCAAAGGAATCTCTTGTATCCAAGTTGGAAGCAATTTTTGCCTATCGAGACCAACCTGGATGGCACGACCCTGATCCCAACACCAAGGTGTTTGTGGTGAAAGGCAAGAATGGTGCCACACGAAAGTATGCTACACCAGGGTCACAGTATCCTGGCTACACGTTTAGGTCAACGTGGCAGTGGAATGAAAAGTCCAACGCCTGGGATTGCAAGGAGTTCAGAAAGAAATGGAAGCTCCTGCATGAGCCACACGAGACGTTTCAAGGCACCAGGGTGTGGGCACTTCAAGTCTTCCAAAGAAGTGACACTGCACGAGTGGCCAAGGTTGCCAGCAGAGGCACACTCCACTGAAGGCGTGCGGGGAAGTCCGCCCTCAGCTCAGGCTTGGAGACAAGCTCAAAGAAGAAGCTCAAGTCACCTTTCAGGTGGTTGAAGGTGTGAACGAAAACATCCTGTCAGTCAACAGGGCATTGGACATTGGAGCCAGTGTCCACTTTGAAAGTGACAACTGCTACATCCAATGGGCAGATGGCAGGAAAGCCACGTTCGCCAGGCAGGGCAAACAGTTTCTCCTTCCGTTTGAAGAGTTGGAGCCACCTACCACCAGATATGGCAAGGTGGCAGCCATCGATGAAGATGCAATGGCAGTTGAAGCCTATGCCATGCAAGAGGATGAAGAAGCCGAGGCAGTGCAAGAATATGCCAGGCGTGAAGAAGAAGTGAGAAAGGCCAAGGAGCTTCTGGAACAAGACCCCGGTCTCTTGGCAGACCTGGAGGAAGAAGCGGAAGCCCCGCCACCTGTGGAGCCAGAGGGGTTGTCGCAACCCATAAGCCCCACTGAGGCGCAGGTGGAATCCCATCGCCTTACACACCTACCGTTTCAACCATGGTGTGAAGAGTGCGTGTCGGGTAAGGCCAAACAAGATTGGCATAGGAGGGATCAATCCTCAACGCGTGAGGGAACAGGGTTGATCCAAATGGATTACTTCTTTCTCTCTCCTGAGAAGGAGGAAGAGGTTGAAGATGAGTCAAGGCTGGTCACAATCCTGTGTCTGACTGACACGGTGACAGGTTGGCCGCTGGCACTTCAACTTCCCAACAGGTCAACCGAAGTAACCCAGCCCAGGTATTGTCTGCAAAATGTGGACCTCTACCTGAAGAACCTTGGGTACAGCAAAGTCATTCTGCAGCATGATGGCGAGCCCTCAATCAGAGCACTGGCTGAGTCAATCCAAAGACATGTTGGATCCAGCCGAGCCTCTGTGCGGGAGTCTCCGCCCAAGCAGCACCAATCACAAGGAGCTGTGGAATCCATGAATGGGTTTGTAGCAAGCCAAATCCGAGCTTTATGGCTCGACGTCAGGAAGCGGTATCCTTCCTTGGACGTGTCCAGCAACTTGACACCGTGGCTTGTGCGCCACGCGGCATGGCTGATAGCACGTTTCCATGTGAGAGGAAAAGACGGGCTCACGCCCTACCGCCTGACAACTGGCAGCGACTACTCACACCCAGTCGCCATGCTAGGCGAAGTAGTTCTGGGAAAAGTACCGACCCCGAGGGGCAAGATGCAGCGAAGGTGGATCAAAGGCATATGGCTAGGTAAGCTGGACAGAGACGACAGCAATGTGCTTGGCACGTCGTCTGGGGCAATCGCCGTGAGATCGGTGAGAAGACTGCCAAAGGAATCACAGACCAGTCAAGAGTTGATGAACGACATGAAAGGAATTCCTTGGCAACCCCGCGACGGGATGAGGCACAAGATCAACAGAGAGCTGTCACAGCCAGTGGCACTCCCAGCGCCAGCCGCAGCGGGTCCCACCGCGCTGGCATCAGAACCCCCAGAGGAAGAACATCCGACACTGGCAGAAGATGGTCAAAACGTTGACCAGGATGGGTTAGTCGTGCAGGCCGCAGCCCAGCTGGAAGACCTACTTGGCGACCAAGCCGAGGACTTCCCAGCGGGTATCCCCGCGGACGACGACGACGCACTTAGCTGCGTGCCCACCACGCCAGCAAGATCTGAAGCTGCAGATCCTCCGCCGGCAGCAAGGCCGAGCGGGCAGCCTCCGCCCTTCCGAGGTGCGGGATGGTCATCGTCGCTTCAGAGCCTCCCGGACGAACCGATGAGTCCGAGCGGACTTGGTCAAGGAGGGAAGCGAGTAAGAGATGATCAGGCAGCGCTTGCACCCGGACAAGCTGAAGCCAAGCAGTCCAGGCAAGCAGGTGTCTTGCAGCATCTAACAAATCACGAGATCTGGTCCCATATCCAAGAATGGGCCAACTCCGAAGACAAGAGCAATCCAATGGCTTTGCAAAGGATAGCCAATGTGACGGATTTCGTCGATCAATTGCTCGACCCAGAGGAGGTCACCAAAGCGCGAAAAGTCCAACTTCAAAAGCTTTGGGAGCGAGGTGCCTTCACACCCGTGCACCGCCAAGAAATCCCAAAAGGTTCACAAATCTTCTCACACAAATGGGTTGACAAGTGTTCCAAAGGAGAATACAAGTCGCGTTTCACATGCGCTGACGTCAAGGCTCGCTACACAGCAGCCGAGGAGGAGGGATTGGACGTGTTCGTTCCAACTCCTACCCCAGAAGCGCACAATCTTCTGGAGGTCTATGCTCTGACAAAGGGTTACTACGCCCGAAGTCTGGACATCGTCGCAGCCTTCTTGATTGGAGCTGACCGAGGAGCCAGCGAAGGGAAGCATGTCTACATGCGTGCACCAGTTGAGTGGCACGACATCTTCCTTGAGTGGCTAGAAACTCTCAGCCCCGAATTGAAGGATTGGTACAAGGAATCGTTCAAAGAACTTTTCTTCAGGTTGGATGGAAACCTATACGGCAGAAGGACAGCCGGATCCGTCTACAGAAATGAGTTGGAGGAAATCCTCTTCTCAAAGGTTGATCCACAGCGGTATTCTTTCTCTCGTGGTGAGAAGGATCCATGTGTCTTCCGTTGTGACAAGTCAGGGATCATCCTGATTCACCACATAGACGACATCCGTATGGCTGGACCAAAAGAGGCTGTCAACCACCTGGTTGATGTCGAAATGCCGAAACACTGTGAGGTCCAAGCAGGAGAGCTCGAAAGCGAAGGAACAGCTGTTGAGTACCTGGGTCGCACCAAGGTACGAACCAAAGATGCTATCATCACGATACCAGATGAGAAGCACATCAAAGCTGTCATCGCTGCTGCGGGAATCTCCGCCAGAGACCGCAGTGAGGTTCCTTCCAAACAACTGAGCCTCTTAGAAACGGAGCCTCTTGGCGAGGCAGATGCCAAGCTTTATCGCTCGGCAGTAGGATCAGCGATCTACCTGCGGTGAAAGAAGCAGCGCGACACATGTCGCAACCGCGAAAATGTGACATGCAAGCCGTCAAGACCCTTGCGGCATACTTGCAGTCGCACCCACATGTTGGCCGAGTCACTACCTGTGATCCCAACTGTAGCTCAGAGTGGCCATGCGAATTGTATAGCGATTCGGATTGGGCCGGATGCCTGGAAACACGGCGAAGCACCGACTGTTACATAGCAGTTGTGTGTGGTGCAATCGTCGCATGTGGCACACAGACCCAACCAGGCCTACCAGCAACAAGTTCGCCGGACGCTGAGCTCAGGGGAGTTTCCAGGGCAGCTCGGGAAGCCATCTTCCTCAAGGAGCTGATCACCCGAGATTTTGGCCAGCAGTGCGGTAAGCCCCGCCTATGGACGGACAGTTCATCGGCAATGCAAGCTTCCAAGCGCATTGGACCAGGTTCCAAGCTCAGACACCTAGAAGTCTGTGAGTTCTATGTGCAAGGAGCTTTGCAGTCCAAGCAGATAGCTTTGGGCAAGGTCAAGGGCACCGTGAATTGTGCCAACTTCCTCACCAAACACCCAAAGAGTGGAACGGAAGTAAGTCAAGCAATGCCTGGTTTAGGCATGTATGAAGCTCGTGACGGAGAAGATATGCTCTCTTCGAGCAAGAAGATCTCTGTCAAGGTCTCAACCGTAACCAAGCAGCATGCGTGGAAGACTCCTACGCCAGCTTGTGTTGGTTGGATCAAAGACCAAGATCGAGCGGGAAGAACCGCCACGGCCTATCGGCAAAATGGACAACTGGTCGGGTGCATCAAGGCACTTGTTGTCCTGAGCCAAATTCAGGCTGTGGCAGGGCAGCCAACGTACTGCCTGTCCCCATACGAATGGTATGCATTGTTTTTCTTGGCCGCAATCGGCACTTGTGTGCTGATATGGAAACTGGCACAACAGTTCATCGCTTGTTGTGTGGACTGGTTATGTCCAATCGAGCCAATAGCCCAAGAAACAGGCCATGAGGTGCAATTGCACATCCAAGATCAGCAGATCACCTTGCGACTCAGGGTGACTGCCATCAGAAACAATCAGCAGCTAACGCTGACCAATCCAGCGCCAGCGGCAACCCCGCGGTCAGAGCCGGCGGCAAACCCGCGGACACCAGCGGTAGCCCCGCGGTCTCCTGAGGAACTTACTCCTCGAGGGATCGAGAGGTGGCACGAAGAACGTTGGGTCCAAGAAGCCGCAGAGGCCAGAATGACCATGCAGGAGTTGATCGAATGGCGCAACCAAGAAGAGTCTCTCCTACGAGGAGAGCATCCCGACGGCATGTCGGACCTCCAGGACTCTGAGTCAAGTGAGTCCGAGGCGGCACCAGCCAGCGCGGGCAGCACCGCTGAACAGCGGGCAGCTCCGCCTGAGCGGGCAGACCCGCCGACCCGGGAACCGGAAAGCGAAGCCGATGCAGCCAGCATCGAGCGGAGCGACCCGTTCGCCCATATGTCTCCGGCAGAATTCGAACAATGGAGACGGGCTGAAGACCGGTTCCTGGGGATGTAGGGACGTCTCACCAGTAGCGTCTCACTCCGACAAGTCCACTCTAAGGAGGGTGGCAACTTGCTAGGGGTAAAACACCTAGTTCAGAACTAAGTAGCTAGCTAGGAGTAGAGATGGCATGTCATGTAAGACACTTGACGTGACCGCAGCCCCTTTTAGCACATCTGTGCTACTCGAGGAAAAAGTGAGGTGACCGAGTCAACAGTGCTGTGTTGTCACCACCTGTGTTTTTGAGCCCAATACGCACCACCGTGTAACTTTGCTGTTTGCACAAAGACAGCACAAAACCTGGTTTGGAAGATGTCCCAGCTACAGCAACCCGTCAGATGGAGCCAGCCGACTCAACTTAGAATGGTTCAAAGACAAAGGTGCCAGCCAAACCAATTTGAACTGGGAGCGGCTGAAGCATCACCTTGGACTAGATGGGGAGACGGCGGATAGGCGATGATATTGCTCCATCTGCGGTGAAAAAGATGCTGTGCTGTTTTCCTTCCTCAGATGTCAGTGCTGTCAATTTGGAACGTTTGTCCGATTTCATTTTTCACAGATCCAATTTTTGATCGAGGCGAAATTGATTTCGAAAGCGCAACGTATGATAAGCTGTAGTGTTATCATACTGTTTTCACATGTGTATACTTCATTTTCACACGTACGCGTGTCCCCAACATAATTGCTCTGTACGCGCAACAACAAGGTTTAGCGTGAGCGTTATGTGCTATGTGTATGTGTGGTGTTGTGGAGCTGGAAATGAGTTGAGAGATTCTTGAAAAGAAACTCGACTTTATTTCCTCACGCAACTTTGGTTTGTGTTTTATGATTTGTTTTTGGGTCCAAACAAAACAAAGAACAAACACAAACCTCAACACACATGCACATATCAATTTATACAATGTTGTGGCATTTCCACTCAAGGGTGAGGGTGGGTGTCTCCAAAATTTTGACAAAAGACTTGTCCCACCCACACTACGTGTTTCCCACCCTGTCTTTTGTTTTAAGCCTAGCCCTAAGCCTAAGACGGCGGATAGGCGATGATATTGCCCCATCTGCGGTGAAAAAGATGCTGTGCTGTTTTTCTTCCTCAGATGTCAGTGCTGTCAATTTGGAACGTTTGTCCGATTTCATTTTTCACAGATCCAATTTTTGATCGAGGCGAAATTGATTTTGAAAGCGCAACGTATGATAAGCTGTAGTGTTATCATACTGTTTTCACATGTGTATACTTCATTTTCACACGTACGCGTGTCCCCAACATAATTGCTCTGTACGCGCAACAACAAGGTTTAGCGTGAGCGTTATGTGTTATGTGTATCTGTGGTGTTGTGGAGCTGGAAATAAGTTGCAAATGAAATTTCCATATGCGTGTTTTTCACACCGCAACCAAAAATTTAGATCAATGTTCACCGAAATGGAATTTCAAAATGCACCGCAAGCGGATTTGTTTCTAGGCAAATCTGTTTGACCCGTGTCAATCCTTTTATTTTCTTGTTTTACATTTCCCCAGTTGTGACAACAACATATTTATTTTTTTTTTGCAATGCCAGACATGATTTAGTCGAGCCGTCGGCACGCAAAGACATGGGGTCGGAATTCAAAGATTTTGGCCATTTTTAACCGTACAAAAATGTACAAAAGGAAAACGCAAAAAATGTCGTGAAATTTCCGTCGCAAACTCGATATTGACGTATGCGATATAGAAGCGGAATAGAAACGAAAGGCTCAAAGGCCTTGTGCAAAGACCCCACTTCGTTGCAACGTTTGTGAATGTAAAAAGTCAATTTGCTGTGCAGTGTGCAGATGCAACAAACTCCGTCGGGTCTTTGCCAAAAAATTTGTCCACGCAATCTTTAATGCTAGGAAAACCCAGTTATGTCTAGGCCGACCAGGCCGGCGAAAAACTGGTGTAGCTAAAGTGTTGGTTCCAGTAAAGATAGATCAGCGTATGGGATCATTGGCCCCAAGAAGATGACCTAGTAGTTTCAATTTGTTAGTTTCGGGCATTGGTCCAATGTATGTTGATGAAAGTGGGCGGTAATTTCAAAACCCGTCGAAGGCCCCTCTGCTCGAATGCATTCGGTCTGTTGAGGTGGCGGCTGTTATGTTGAAGCGTTTCCAATCCATAAGCCAACCTGGAACAGACTATGGACTCATCCGCAGCAAATTTCCAAGCTATTGGGCATGGCCGATGCAATTCTCCCATTAATTTCAACAGAGACGCGTGCATTTTTGGAAATCGAACTGCCCAAATACCTAGAATGATCAGCATTGTCAAGGCGGCCTTTGTTTTGGAAATGTCTTTGCCTGGTTCCCTTCCTACAAAGCACATGACATTTACAATGGTTGAATGTCAGATTGTAATAAAAAATTGTTCAACCATTCTTAGCAACTGAATCATGCAATGGGCGCCGTTTGTGATCAAAAGTGTATCGTCGGCATATAGAGTATCACTGTACCGAATATGCGGCAGCCGGTTGTTCAACAGGTCAACCCGTATCCTATCATAAACGTCGTGAAACAAAACAGTCATGAGGAGAACATTTAATTTACTTAAAAATTTGAAAAACACTGACGGTCTGACGTAAAAATACATTGCGGGTCATTGCGGGAACAAATTGCAGTTTACAGTGTTTAAAAAAATCCTGTCACGCCGAATAGGCATTTTGATCTTGAACGGTGCAGGCAACATTTGGAAATAACGACGGATATAGTTTGCTGGGCACTTTACACGCACTGCTGTTGCAACATCAAATTTATGAAACGAAACTGGACCGTGAGAATTCTTCCAGGGAAGAACCAATGTCCAGCTTTAGTTTTTGGTTGTCCCAGAAGGTGCTTGGTGGTGAAGGTGCGCTGGATTGGGGTATATCATTTCCAATGGGTTGCACCGAAAATTGTTTAGTCTAAAACGTGTTTGACCTCCATCTGTTTCTTATGACCTCGTAAAGCAATAAACACAACCCAATTTAATCAATCTTACTGTTGAAACAAATCAGGACAAAACCGCGTTTCCTGATTAATAGTGTTAGAAATCAAATTGTTGTGGTTGTTGCTGTTGTTGTTGTTGTTGCTGTTGCTATTGTTGCTATTGTTGCTGTTGCTGCTGTTGCTGCTGTTGCTGCTATTGTTGCTGTTGCTGTTGCTGTTGCTCTTGTTCTTGCTGTTGTTGTTGTTGTTGTTGCTGTTGCTGTGGTATTAGCGTTGGTGCTGGTGGTGGTGGTGATGGTGGCGGTGCAAGCAGCAAAAAAAAGTAACCCTGGCACAGGTGGTTTGTGCCCAAAACCTCCAAAAAAACTGAAGCAAAGATAATGTTTCCAATTTCCAAAATCGCAACCGCAGTACAGCAGAGGTCTGTTTGTGGACATAGCCGAAGCTGGCTTCAAACATTCAACACGAAAACAGTACGCTGTGTCAGTGTCTTTTTGCCCAGTCGCATGTTGATCGCTCCATCCCGTGATGGCAACAACCAAATCATATCTT